TGACCCTGGGGTCTCACGTTTCCCCCTGGGGAGGGGGTAAACTTTACTATAGTTTATATAGGGAAATCACATTTTGGACCAACATTTGTTTAATTTCCATTGGAAGTAATTCAATTTGGGTTAGCATTATCAGTATTAGGTAGCAGTTTGATAATAAGCACATATCAGCAAAATTTATTATGGTTTATAATGGCAAATGATACTTTGAATATTACATGTTAATAACCTGATTGGAATTATAAACTTGAGTTGACAGTTTGATACTTTGAAAATTTTGAGCCAGCCCTACCCCCCAAGGGCTGTAGGGTGAGGCTCAAAGGAGTCAGTGTGCTAAAATTTCTTCATTTTCCTTGTTTAGAATCAGAGGTGCTAGTTTCAAATACTTTTTAGTATGAAATCTGTATGCTAGATATTGAATAAGGTGGTTTTATTGTTTTTTGTCACTTTGAATAATATTTCTTTTCATGTTAAAAACAAAATCAACTCTCTGTATAAATATATCAGGTGACCATTAAGGCCCATGGGCCTCTTGTTTCCAATACCATTCAAATATCAAGACAAATAAAATTAGAAGAGGTCCATTTGGCATCTTTATCTTCTCTATTTAATTGTATATCGTCCGCAGGCGCTGCCAAAAATACCGCTTTGAACACAGATACTGAAAATGAGTATGCTGTTGTAACCAAACCATCCAAAGGTAAGGATTTGTATGATAAATTATAGTGAGGGTATGTTCTATACAATGTATTAATGTCAGGTCAGTGTATAGAGATATACAGTGTATTACTGTCAGGTCAATGTATAGAGATATACAGTGTGTTACTGTCAGGTCAGTATATAGAGATATACAGTGTATTACTGCCAGGTCAGTGTATAGAGATATACAGAGTGTTACTGTCAGGTAAGTGTATAGAGATATACAGTGTATTACTGTTAGGTCAGTGTATAGAGATATACAGTGTATTACTGTCAGGTCAGTGTATAGAGATATACAGTGTATAACTGTCAGGTCAGTGTATATACATATACAATGTATTACTGTCTGGTCAGTGTATAGAGATATACAGTGTATTACTGTCAGGTCAGTGTATAGAGATATACAATGTATTACTGTCAGGTCAGTGTAAAGAGATATACAGTGTATTACTGTCAGGTCAGTGTATAGAGATATACAGTGTATTACTGTCAGGTCAGTGTATAGAGATATACAGTGTATTACTGTCAGGTCAGTGTATAGAGATATACAGTGTATTACTGTCAGGTCAGTGTATAGAGATATACAGTGTATTACTGTCAGGTCAGTGTATAGAGATATACAGTGTATTACTGTCAGGTCAGTGTATAGAGATATACAGTGTATTACTGTCAGGTCAGTGTATAGAGATATACAGTGTATTACTGTCAGGTCAGTGTATAGAGATATACAGTGTATTACTGTCAGGTCAGTGTATAGAGATATACAGTGTATTACTGTCAGGTCAGTGTATAGAGATATACAGTGTATTACTGTCAGGTCAGTGTATAGAGATATACAGTGTATTACTGTCAGGTCAGTGTATAGAGATATACAGTGTATTACTGTCAGGTCAGTGTATAGAGATATACAGTGTATTACTGTCAGGTCAGTGTATAGAGATATACAGTGTATTACTGTCAGGTCAGTGTATAGAGATATACAGTGTATTACTGTCAGGTCAGTGTATAGAGATATACAGTGTATTACTGTCAGGTCAGTGTATAGAGATATACAGTGTATTACTGTCAGGTCAGTGTATAGAGATATACAGTGTATTACTGTCAGGTCAGTGTATAGAGATATACAGTGTATTACTGTCAGGTCAGTGTATAGAGATATACAGTGTATTACTGTCAGGTCAGTGTATAGAGATATACAGTGTATTACTGTCAGGTCAGTGTATAGAGATATACAGTGTATTACTGTCAGGTCAGTGTATAGAGATATACAGTGTATTACTGTCAGGTCAGTGTATAGAGATATACAGTGTATTACTGTCAGGTCAGTGTATAGAGATATACAGTGTATTACTGTCAGGTCAGTGTATAGAGATATACAGTGTATTACTGTCAGGTCAGTGTATAGAGATATACAGTGTATTACTGTCAGGTCAGTGTATAGAGATATACAGTGTATTACTGTCAGGTCAGTGTATAGAGATATACAGTGTATTACTGTCAGGTCAGTGTATAGAGATATACAGTGTATTACTGTCAGGTCAGTGTATAGAGATATACAGTGTATTACTGTCAGGTCAGTGTATAGAGATATACAGTGTATTACTGTCAGGTCAGTGTATAGAGATATACAGTGTATTACTGTCAGGTCAGTGTATAGAGATATACAGTGTATTACTGTCAGGTCAGTGTATAGAGATATACAGTGTATTACTGTCAGGTCAGTGTATAGAGATATACAGTGTATTACTGTCAGGTCAGTGTATAGAGATATACAGTGTATTACTGTCAGGTCAGTGTATAGAGATATACAGTGTATTACTGTCAGGTCAGTGTATAGAGATATACAGTGTATTACTGTCAGGTCAGTGTATAGAGATATACAGTGTATTACTGTCAGGTCAGTGTATAGAGATATACAGTGTATTACTGTCAGGTCAGTGTATAGAGATATACAGTGTATTACTGTCAGGTCAGTGTATAGAGATATACAGTGTATTACTGTCAGGTCAGTGTATAGAGATATACAGTGTATTACTGTCAGGTCAGTGTATAGAGATATACAGTGTATTACTGTCAGGTCAGTGTATAGAGATATACAGTGTATTACTGTCAGGTCAGTGTATAGAGATATACAGTGTATTACTGTCAGGTCAGTGTATAGAGATATACAGTGTATTACTGTCAGGTCAGTGTATAGAGATATACAGTGTATTACTGTCAGGTCAGTGTATAGAGATATACAGTGTATTACTGTCAGGTCAGTGTATAGAGATATACAGTGTATTACTGTCAGGTCAGTGTATAGAGATATACAGTGTATTACTGTCAGGTCAGTGTATAGAGATATACAGTGTATTACTGTCAGGTCAGTGTATAGAGATATACAGTGTATTACTGTCAGGTCAGTGTATAGAGATATACAGTGTATTACTGTCAGGTCAGTGTATAGAGATATACAGTGTATTACTGTCAGGTCAGTGTATAGAGATATACAGTGTATTACTGTCAGGTCAGTGTATAGAGATATACAGTGTATTACTGTCAGGTCAGTGTATAGAGATATACAGTGTATTACTGTCAGGTCAGTGTATAGAGATATACAGTGTATTACTGTCAGGTCAGTGTATAGAGATATACAGTGTATTACTGTCAGGTCAGTGTATAGAGATATACAGTGTATTACTGTCAGGTCAGTGTATAGAGATATACATTGGACTACTGTCAGGTCAGTGTATAGACATATACAGTGTATTACTGTCAGGTCAGTGTAAAGAGATATACAGTGTTTTACTGTCAGGTCAGTGTATAGAGATATACAGTGTGTTACTGTCAGGTCAGTGTATAGAGTTATACAGTGTACTACTGTCAGGTCAGTGGATAGAGTTATACAGTGTGTTACTGTCAGGTCAGTGTATAGAGATATACAGTGTATTACTGTCAGGTCAGTGTATAGAGATATACAGTGTATTTCTGTCAGGGTAGTGTATAGATATACAGTGTTTTAATGTCTGTAAAGAAGTACAATCAAGTAACAAGTAACCAGAGCTTTACAGGAATGACAAGAATCTGTAAAGGGAAATGGAGGTGGAACCAGTGGTTTACTGACTGCTTTATAACAGGAATCTCTGTGAGTATTTAATTACATTCTTACAGTGTTGTTATATGATGTTTTAAAGGTCAGAAACAGAATCACAAGCACGGTGGGTCAGTACCACGATCCCAGCCAGGGCCATCATTACAGGAACCCCAACCAGGGCCCTCATCACAGGAACCCCAACCAGGGCCTTCAAGGGTAAGTATATAGTTGTTTGTTTCATGGATGTTTTTGGTAATTTAGGAAATATGTAGAACATCGAATATATATAAAATTATTATAATATAAATGATACAGAATTTTCCAAGCATATCTGCAGCATTCATTAACAAAATTGTATATTTCAAACATTAAAGTGGCAAGGTACTTGATGCCTTCCTCTGAATCAACAGCTCTAGGATACTATGTTGTGTTTGTGTTATGTTTTTGTGATGTTGTGATTGTGTTATGTTTTTTTGATTTTGTGAATGTGTCATGTTGTGATTATGTTGTGATCGTGTTATTTTGTGTTATGCTGTGAATGTGTTAGGTTGTGAATGTGTTATGTTGTGATTGTGTTATGTTTTGTGATGTTGTGATTGTGTTATGTTTTTGTGATGTTGTGATCGTGTTATGTTTTTGTGATGTTGTGATTTTATTATGTTTTGTGATGTTGTGATTTTGTTATGTTTTGTGATGTTGTGATTGTGTTATGTTGTGATTGTGTTATTTTGTGAATGTGTTATGTTGTGATTGTGTTACGTTGTGAATGTGTTATGTTGTGATTGGGTTATGTTGTGATTGTGTGATGTTGTGATTGTGTGATGTTGTGTTTGTGTGATGTTGTGATCGTGTTATGTTCTTGTGATGTTGTGATTGTGTTATTTTGTGAGTGTGTTATGTTGTGATTGTGTTATGTTTTTGTGATGTTGTGATTGTGTTATGTTGTGATTGTGTTATGTTGTGATTTTGTTATGTTGTGATTGTGTGATGTTGTGATTGTGTTATGTTGTCATTGTGTTATGTTGTCATTGTGTTATGTTGTGTTATGTTGTGAATGTGTTATGTTGTGATTGTGTTATGTTTTTGTGATGTTGTGATTGTGTTATGTTTTTTTGATGTTGTGAATATGTTATGTTGTGTTATGTTGTGATTGTGTTATGTTGTGATTGTGTTATGTTGTGATTGTGTGATGTTGTGATTGTGTGATGTTGTGATCGTGTTATGTTGTGATTGTGTTATGTTGTGAATGTGTTATGTTGTGATTGTGTTATGTTGTGATTGTGTGATGTTGTGATGTTTTTGTGATGTTGTGATCGTGTTATGTTTTTGTGATGTTGTGATTGTGTTATGTTGTGATTTTGTTATGTTGTGATTTTGTTATGTTGTGATTGTGTGATGTTGTGATTGTGTTATGTTGTCATTGTGTTATGTTGTCATTGTGTTATGTTTTGTTATGTTGTGAATGTGTTATGTTGTGATTGTGTTATGTTTTTGTGATGTTGTGATTGTGTTATGGTTTTTTTGATGTTGTGAATATGTTATGTTGTGTTATGTTGTGATTGTGTTATTTTGTGAATGTGTTATGTTGTGATTGTGTTCTGTTGTGAATGTGTTATGTTGTGAATGTGTTATGTTGTGATTGTGTTATGTTGTGTTATGTTGTGATTGTGTGATGTTTTTGTGATGTTGTGATCGTGTTATGTTTTTTTGATGTTGTGATTGTGTTATGTTGTGTTATGTTGTGATCTATTATGTTTTTTGATGTTGTGATTGTGTTATGTTGTGATTTTGTTATGTTGTGATTGTGTGATATTGTGATCTATTATGTTTTTTGATGTTGTGATTGTGTTATGTTGTGATTGTGTTATGTTGTCATTGTGTTATGTTGTGTTATGTTGTGAATGTGTTATGTTGTGATTGTGTTATGTTTTTGTGATGTTGTGATTGTGTTATGTTTTTTTGATGTTGTGAATATGTTATGTTGTGTTATGTTGTGATTGTGTTATGTTGTGATTGTGTTATGTTGTGATTGTGTTATGTTGTGATTGTGTGATGTTGTGATTGTGTGATGTTGTGATTGTGTTATGTTGTGATTGTGTTATGTTGTGTTATGTTGTGATTGTGTGATGTTGTGATCTATTATGTTTTTTGATGTTGTGATTGTGTTATGTTGTGATTGTGTTATGTTGTGTGATGTTTTGATTGTGTGATGTTGTGATTGTGTTATGTTGTGATTGTGTTATGTTGTGATTGTGTTATGTTTTTTGATGTTGTGATTGTGTTATGTTGTGATCGTGTTATGTTTTGTGATGTTGTGATTGTTTTACATGATGTTATTATGTTGTTTGTTAACAGACTGTCAATCAGGATGGACTGATCTACCTTGACGTCGAATTCAAACCTCAGCCTGGTGGAGGAGGAAGAGGTGTCATTCATGGGGCAGATGACAGAACCGAATATACTTTTGTTGACTTTTCAAAGACTGCGCCCAACTCCAGTTAAAGACGACAAAAAAAAACGCACCAGGACCTCATAGCCGAAATATTTCTTCATCATTTTATGCCTTAAAAGGAGTTAGCTGCCCTAACTACACATTTCTTAACTATGTTGCCAAAAGTTATCTCTAAGTGAACATCTGTATTAGATATCAATCGTAATTTACATCCGCAAAAGTGATATCTACCCTATTTACACCTGTATAAGAGTTACCCTCCCTATTTACACCTGTATAAGTGATATCAACCCTATTTATACACCTGTATAAGAGATACCCTCCCTATTGACACCTGTAGAAGAGATATCCGTCCTTGATACACCTGTATAAGAGATATCCACACTTTTTACACCTGTATAAGAGATATCCACACTTTTTACACCTGTAGAAGAGATATCCACACTTTTTACACCTGTAGAAGAGATATCCACCCTATTTACACCTGTAAAAGAGCTATCCACCCTATTTACACCTGTATAAGAGATATCCACACTTTTTACACCTGTATAAGAGATATCCACCCTTTTTACACCTGTATAAGAGATATCCACACTTTTTACACCTGTATAAGAGATATCCACCCTTTTTACACCTGTATAAGAGATATCCACACTTTTTACACCTGTATAAGAGATATCCACCCTTTTTACACCTGTATAAGAGATATCCACACTTTTTACACCTGTATAAGAGATATCCACCCTTTTTACACCTGTATAAGAGATATCCACACTTTTTACACCTGTATAAGAGATATCCACCCTTTTTACACCTGTATAAGAGATATCCACACTTTTTACACCTGTATAAGAGATATCCACCCTTTTTACACCTGTATAAGAGATATCCACACTTTTTACACCTGTATAAGAGATATCCACCCTTTTTACACCTGTATAAGAGATATCCACACTTTTTACACCTGTATAAGAGATATCCACCCTTTTTACACCTGTATAAGAGATATCCACACTTTTTACACCTGTATAAGAGATATCCACCCTTTTTACACCTGTATAAGAGATATCCACACTTTTTACACCTGTATAAGAGATATCCACCCTTTTTACACCTGTATAAGAGATATCCACACTTTTTACACCTGTATAAGAGATATCCACCCTTTTTACACCTGTATAAGAGATATCCACACTTTTTACACCTGTATAAGAGATATCCACCCTTTTTACACCTGTATAAGAGATATCCACACTTTTTACACCTGTATAAGAGATATCCACCCTTTTTACACCTGTATAAGAGATATCCACACTTTTTACACCTGTATAAGAGATATCCACCCTTTTTACACCTGTATAAGAGATATCCACACTTTTTACACCTGTATAAGAGATATCCACCCTTTTTACACCTGTATAAGAGATATCCACACTTTTTACACCTGTATAAGAGATATCCACCCTTTTTACACCTGTATAAGAGATATCCACACTTTTTACACCTGTATAAGAGATATCCACCCTTTTTACACCTGTATAAGAGATATCCACACTTTTTACACCTGTATAAGAGATATCCACCCTTTTTACACCTGTATAAGAGATATCCACACTTTTTACACCTGTATAAGAGATATCCACCCTTTTTACACCTGTATAAGAGATATCCACACTTTTTACACCTGTATAAGAGATATCCACCCTTTTTACACCTGTATAAGAGATATCCACACTTTTTACACCTGTATAAGAGATATCCACCCTTTTTACACCTGTATAAGAGATATCCACACTTTTTACACCTGTATAAGAGATATCCACCCTTTTTACACCTGTATAAGAGATATCCACACTTTTTACACCTGTATAAGAGATATCCACCCTTTTTACACCTGTATAAGAGATATCCACACTTTTTACACCTGTATAAGAGATATCCACCCTTTTTACACCTGTATAAGAGATATCCACACTTTTTACACCTGTATAAGAGATATCCATCCTTGTTACACCTGTATAAGAGATATCCACACTTTTTACACCTGTATAAGAGATATCCACACTTTTTACACCTGTATAAGAGATATCCACACTTTTTACACCTGTATAAGAGATATCCACACTTTTTACACCTGTATAAGAGATATCCACACTTTTTACACCTGTATAAGAGATATCCACACTTTTTACACCTGTATAAGAGATATCCACACTTTTTACACCTGTATAAGAGATATCCACACTTTTTACACCTGTATAAGAGATATCCACACTTTTTACACCTGTATAAGAGATATCCACACTTTTTACACCTGTATAAGAGATATCCACACTTTTTACACCTGTATAAGAGATATCCACACTTTTTACACCTGTATAAGAGATATCCACACTTTTTACACCTGTATAAGAGATATCCACACTTTTTACACCTGTATAAGAGATATCCACACTTTTTACACCTGTATAAGAGATATCCACACTTTTTACACCTGTATAAGAGATATCCACACTTTTTACACCTGTATAAGAGATATCCACCCTTTTTACACCTGTATAAGAGATATCCACACTTTTTACACCTGTAGAAGAGATATCCACCCTTTTTACACCTGTAGAAGAGATATCCACACTTTTTACACCTGTAGAAGAGATATCCACCCTATTGACACCTGTATAAGATATATCTACCCTTTTTACACCTGTATCAGAGATATCCATTCTTTTTACACCTGTATAAGAGATATCCATTCTTTTTACACCTGTAGAAGAGATATCCACCCTTGTTACACCTGTAGAAGAGATAACCACACTTTTTACACCTGAAGAAGAGATATCCACCCTATTTACACCTGTATAAGAGATATCTACCCTTGTTACACCTGTATAAGAGATATCCACCCTTTCTACACCTGTATAAGAGATATCCACCCTTTTTACACCTGTATAAGAGATATCCACACTTTTTACACCTGTATAAGAGATATCCACCCTTTTTACACCTGTATAAGAGATATCCACACTTTTTACACCTGTATAAGAGATATCCACCCTTTTTACACCTGTATAAGAGATATCCACACTTTTTACACCTGTATAAGAGATATCCACCCTTTTTACACCTGTATAAGAGATATCCACACTTTTTACACCTGTATAAGAGATATCCACCCTTTTTACACCTGTATAAGAGATATCCACACTTTTTACACCTGTATAAGAGATATCCACCCTTTTTACACCTGTATAAGAGATATCCACACTTTTTACACCTGTATAAGAGATATCCACCCTTTTTACACCTGTATAAGAGATATCCACACTTTTTACACCTGTATAAGAGATATCCACCCTTTTTACACCTGTATAAGAGATATCCACACTTTTTACACCTGTATAAGAGATATCCACCCTTTTTACACCTGTATAAGAGATATCCACACTTTTTACACCTGTATAAGAGATATCCACACTTTTTACACCTGTATAAGAGATATCCACACTTTTTACACCTGTAGAAGAGATATCCACCCTTTTTACACCTGTAGAAGAGATATCCACACTTTTTACACCTGTAGAAGAGATATCCACCCTTTTTACACCTGTAGAAGAGATATCCACACTTTTTACACCTGTAGAAGAGATATCCACCCTTTTTACACCTGTAGAAGAGATATCCACACTTTTTACACCTGTAGAAGAGATATCCACCCTTGTTACACCTGTAGAAGAGATATCCACACTTTTTACACCTGTAGAAGAGATATCCACCCTATTGACACCTGTATAAGATATATCTACCCTTTTTACACCTGTATCAGAGATATCCATTCTTTTTACACCTGTATAAGAGATATCCATTCTTTTTACACCTGTAGAAGAGATATCCATCCTTTTTACACCTGTAGAAAAGATATCCACACTTTTTACACCTGTAGAAGAGATATCCACACTTTTTACACAGGTATAAGAGATATCCACACTTTTTACACCTGTATAAGTGATATCAACCCTATTTATACACCTGTATAAGAGATACCCTCCCTATTGGCACCTGTATAAGAGATATCCGTCCTTGTTACACCTGTAGAAGAGATATCCACACTTTTAACACCTGTATAAGAGATATACACACTTTTTACACCTGTGTAAGTGATATCAACCCTATTTATACACCTGTATAAGAGATACCCTCCCTATTGGCACCTGTATAAGAGATATCCGTCCTTGTTACACCTGTATAAGAGATATCCACACTTTTAACACCTGTATAAGAGATATCCACACTTTTAACACCTGTATAAGAGATATCCACACTTTTTACACCTGTGTAAGTGATATCAACCCTATTTATACACCTGTATAAGAGATACCCTCCCTACTGACACCTGTATAAGAGATATCCACCCTTTTTACACCTGTATAAGAGATATCCACCCTTTTTACTCCTGTATAAGACATATCCATCCTTGTTCCACCTGTATATGAGATATCCATCCTTGTTACACCTGTTTAAGAGATATCCACACTTTTAACACCTGTATAAGAGATATCCCCCCTTTTTACACCTGTATAAGAGATATCCACACTTTTTACACATGTAGAAGAGATGTCCACCCTTTTAACACCTGTATAAGAGATATCCACACTTTTTACACCTGTATAAGAGGTATCCATCCTTGTTACACCTGTATAAGAGAAATCCATCCTTTTTACACCTGTATAAGAGATAGCCACACGTTTTACACCTGTTTAAGAGATATCCATTCTTTTTACACCTGTATAAGAAAAAGCCACACTTTTTACCCCTGTAGAAGAGATATCAATCCTTTTTACACCTGTATAAGAGATCCCCACACTTTTTACCCATGTAGAAGAGATGTCCACCCTTAGAACACCTGTATAAGAGATCCCCACACTTTTTACCCATGTAGAAGAGATGTCCACCCTTAGAACACCTGTATAAGAGATCCCCACACTTTTTACCCATGTAGAAGAGATGTCCATCCTTTTTACACCTGTCTAAGAGATAGCCACACGTTTTCCAACTGTTTAAGAGATATCCATCCTTTTTACAACTGTAGAAGAGATATCCCCCCTATTGACACCTGTATAAGATATATCTCCCTTTGTTACACCTGTATTACATCTGTAGAAGAGATATCCCCCCTATTGACACCGGTATAAGATATATCTACCCTTTTTACACCTGTATAAGAAAAAGCCACACTTTTTACCCCTGTAGAAGAGATATCCATCCTTTTTACAACTGTAGAAGAGATATCCACCCTATTGACACCTGTATAAGATATATCTACCTTTGTTACACCTGTATTAGAGATATCCATCATTTTTACACTTGTATAAGAGATATCCATTCTTTTTACATCTGTAGAAGAGATATCCATCCTTTTTACACCTGTAGAAGAGATATCCATCCTTGTTACACCTGTAGAGGAGATATCCACCCTATTTGCACCTGTATAAGAGACATCCACACTTTTTACACATGTAGAAGAGATATCCATCCTATTTACACCTGTATAAGTGATATCCACACTTTTTACCCCTGTATAAGAGA